GAAACAGACAAACGTATTTCTCAAAAAATTCTTTTATAACTGTATAAAACAATGATAGTCCCCGTTCTCACATACGGATCAAAAGCGTGGACCCTAAACAAAACAGCCCTCTGTATCGATTTTTGAAAGGATAGTACTTCGCAAGATGTTCGAAGCAGTCTGTGAAAACGGAATATGGAGGCAACGATATATCTTTGAACTACAGAATATCCAGAAGCATAAGTTTGGTGGAAAATACATTACCATAATAGTCAAGCGAAATTGTCTTCTAGCCCTAGCCCTGATATCGAGCATGATAAAATTAGCCATTAGGATAATGGCTAAATAGATAAAATTAGGAATAAGAAGATGAGCCACACCAAAGCTGAGTTGGATAGACGGAGTAACACAGGATGCAGACAAGATCGGTATTGCTAACTGGAAAATCCAATCAAGGGACAGAGCTAAATGGCGCAAAAAGCTTTAGAAACTCGAGGTCCTTTAAGGGCTGTAGGTCCGGGATGATGATGAATGATATTTTACCTATCCTTATTTTAATTTTGTGAATGTATATCTTAACTTTTCGGGCGGGGCGTTTGACCCCCCAAAACCCACTCCATGACTACGCCCGTGAACTGTAGACTGAGAAAACTTATACTCATTTAAATAAAAGCGGAGATGGTAAACTGAATATATTTCAGTTTTTAAATTTAATAGAAGAAAAAAAAACAAAGAAGAAACACGATAATTACTTTATAATATAAATACAAAAATGACCAACAAAATTACTACTTTTAGAGGCAATTTAGTTCTAGGAATTTGTGTTTTTCCGAAACTATTTATGTAGCTCACCAGTTTCAAGTATTGTACTTTTGGTTTTAATTTTAACAAACAAGTATGTTATTTGTTTGTTCCTTTATCCTACAACAGTGGAAGGACTACAAACAGGCGCATGATGTACTTATGTTGCTATCCTAGTATTTTTATTTATCTCCAAGTATTTTTGGTTTACGTTTTCTGTACTTCTATCAGTGATAGATGTCGTACCCCATTATCGCTCCATTTGATTTGGGTAAACTAATTCAGCGAATTTTGTTCATGCTTTTTTATCCATTATTTCTAGTACTCTGATTTACATAGTGTCTTTGAACATGAACCTCTATGCCACGTATCGGAGAATGTTTTCTGCTTCACTCAGATTTCTATTGTGTGCAGCTTGAATATTCTTTTTTTTATGTTGGTATTTCAGACAATATGGGTAGAATTATGCTGTTATTGGTCTCGTCTTGTTTGAAAGGCTAGTTTGCTTCTTTTCAGGGATAGTTTTTATATTTTGGCTTGGAACTTACTTGCTTATTGTACTGTCTTCATGACGTGAAATATAAATCGGAGTCTTTTGTTCTATGCGACTAAGTACTTAGCCTTGTTTGACCATCCGATAGGTGTGTCCTAACATCTCTAGCTGTTAATTCTGTTCCCCAAACCCTTCTTGAACATCACTGCTTATGTCTTCTTGGGACTTACTGCTATTCCCGACTTTATGCGCCATTCTTCTAGTGTTTTTAGAGCTACCTGTAGTTTTTGGGTTGTAATATTCTAGGACTCCTTTGGAAATTCGCCGATATTTATACATTATGTGTTGTCGCTCATGTATGTGTAGATGTCGGAATTTCGAGTCTTAGTCAATAGAAATGCTACTTTCAGGTTGGACGATGCAGTCAGTACCACTATTGGTTAATGTCTAATGGAGCGCTGACAAGACATTATTTATCTATTTTTTAACCAATTTCATAGTGAACAATTCAAGTGTAATTATAATTTCGAATTGGTTCTATTGTCCTGTGTTCGATTTTTCTCGATCGACGATGATAAAATCAAATGTCGTGGAGTAAAATATAGTTTTATTGACAGCTACTGAATTATTACACTATAGCTGTTGAAAATTTATAATACACTGCGTCCCAAACTAGTCCCGAAGCTATATTTATAATCTCACTAAAATGCTACGATTTATTCAATACGCGTATTGTCCTCTGCATAGAACAAAAACGTTTGAATTTTGAAAGCTGGAAAATTTAATTTGAATCGAGGAAATGACTGCAATCATTTCCTCAATACCTATTAGGCAATCTATAGTTTGCAGGAAGTTGACAAACTGTAATTAAGCTACTAATCGATATGTTTCAAAATGATATCGACAATATTGTCAAAAATTTTAATACGTATTCTTTAATTTTTGGTGGATGCGACTTTTGTAGATTTTTCCATAAACCGCTATTTCGTTAAATCTCTTTGAATAAAAAAGGGTGTTTCTTAGAAATTAAACACAGTTTTTATACAAAACTAGTAGCTGAAGATAACGTATAAGGTGGTCTATTAGTGCACAAAAAATAAAAGAAAAACATTACAATCTCTTTATACCAAAAGACTTACTTAAGACTTTAAAACTACTTCTTTACAATTTAAAATTATTATACATATTATTTTTGGCAAAATTTAACTGCTCGGTATAAATGATTTGGAGGTCATTTTACGAAGAGGGCACATTCAATATCGTATATCAAGACATCGATTGAATTCTGTAGATGTATTATACTACCACTTATCTGACATATTTGCTTTGCCTGATTCTCATCAAATATCACGTTATTGGACGCTAAGTTCAACTTATTCAAGTTCCTGCTGAAATTAGTCTCCTTTCTATCGATATATTGCTCTGACACTGTGATAAAAAAATAAATCTGAAAGCGATTCTACAAGAAAATCTAAAAATCTGTTGATGTCTCTGAAAATAATATTTCAATTTTGTCTCTTTTTAAAATAATAAATCTTTCTCTTTTTTATATGTTATTTCATTGTAACTATTAGTGTTATTAAGCGTAGAATATTGTTTAATATTTAGTTTAACAAAAAACAGTAGAAAATAAAGAAAATCAAGAAGAAACTTATAAGAACTATATAATTTCCAAAACTGCTAAATTTACAAATATACTAATTGCCAAAAAAATTCAACACTTAGAAGGACAAATATATTTTTTTAATATTTATTTAAGGCAGTAGTTTTATAATATTCTTATTATTTGATAACATAAACAAATTTGCACCGTTATTTTCGTCAAAAACTCAGTCTCAGTCTATATCGTATTGCGGAATACTCATCAATATTCTTTTCATGGCATGCCACAGGTGTTCTAAATTTGCTGGTGGACGCGGCAATACATTTAGGTTTCGACCTACCATACTCCACACATGTTCTATGGGTGACAAATCAGCTGATCGTGATGGCCACTCCAAAGTGTCTATTCAAAATCTTGTATGAATCCATGGTTTCACGGGCAATATGAGATCTTGCCTTATCCTCTTAACAGATCGTATTTGGAATATGGTTTGTAGGTAGGGATGTAAAACCGGTTGCAGTACTTCACCAATATATCGTCGAGCTGTCAGAGCAGAGTGCCGTTAATAAGAACTAGAGGTGATCTGCTTCCTAAACATATAGCATCAAATACAATAATGCTTAGTTGTCTTGCTGTATGACGTTCAACAGCCAAGTCTCTCACCTAGAAAACGTCTTACTCTTATGTGCCCATCATAGCCACCCAAACAAAACCTAGATTCATCACTGAAGCAGACAAATTCCATTGGTCATTCCAGTTTTGCCGAGCTCTGCAGCATTCTAAGCGTCAAAATTAAAGCTGTCGTATGAAAGTAAAACCAAAAGCGGACGGTAAGCTCTTAGTCCCATTCTTCTTGAGGCTAACCTTCTTGTAGTTGCAACTAAATCATCTTTTACTTGATGTACACTGTCCCGTCTATTTCTGAGAGCAAGAAGTGCGCAAGTCATGGCCTTGCAATATTCTAGGACGTCCAGACCCTCCACGATGCCGCCAAGTCTTATCCTTGGACCACCTTTTCCATACTGTTAACACCTACAATACACCGTCGATTTCATACCTACAATGCGCCCTTTGTGGAAGTCGCTTAAATGACGAAATTGCCGACGACCGCGAACTCTTGACATTTTAAGTACGTTCTTATATTTTTTGTCTTTGCGAAAAACGAAAAAAAAAGAAAAAAACTTCAATCAAAAAAAAGATAACTTAAATAAAAACTAATTACATAGATATTTTGAAAGAAAAACTTCTAGATTAGTTCCAAAGTTCCAAATAAATAACCGTGTTTTTTTTTGTCAATTAGTATATCATCATCATCATCATCATTGGTGCTACAGCCCTATAAAAGAGCCTCGATCTTCCCAAGTCTATTACGCCAGTTAGTTCTATCCATTGCCAACTGTTGCCAGTTTGCTGCACCTATTTTTCTACCATACTCATCTACACCATCTCTCTATCTGAGTTCTGGCCCACCCCTACTTCTACTTCCCACAGGTTGTGACATAAGAATTCTTCTAGAAGGGTTGTTCTGCTGTGATCTGGCCAGATGTCCTGCCCATCTTAGTCTTCCTATTTATATAAGAGATACTACGTCTTTACCACCAAATATATGTTGATATATCTAGTAGTTGTACCTCCTTCTCCAAACACCATTTTCACAGATGCCACCGAATATTCTTCTCAGGATCCTTCGTGCAAATATAAGCAGGAGGTTTTCATCTGCCTTGGAAATGGTCCATGTCTCTGATCCATATGTCAACACTGGTTGTATAAGGGTTTTGTATATGGTTATTTTTGTTTTTTGACTTCAGTTTCTTTTTCTCATATGTCTACTCAATCCAAAATAACATTTTTTTGCTAGGATTATTCTTCGCTTGATTTCTTCCGTCATGACGTTCTCCTTGTTGATCAGGGAGCCTAAGTATATATTATCAGTATATATTAAAGACAAAAAGGGATCAATTTATTCTGTAAGTCCCAATTTCAATAATTATGCCGCATATCACATTAAGGTTACCCGTACGGCTATAGAAAAATGTATCCGATTAAATTAATACCTTTATCAATTTCCTATTTTTTCCACAAAATCTACTGTGCATAAAGTTAATTCATATTATTTTGTTGCAGACTTCTGAATCTCCAGAGCCAGTAAAGCCTCCAACGCCAACGCAGGTGTTCCAAGAAACGCCCAAAACAAACGGAATAGATCACAGCTCAACGAGAGAAGTCCCTAAGCCAGCGCCTCGTCGTATCAACTCTGCTTCCAGTGATTCGTCTACGGCTACAATCAATCCTACAGCTCAAACCGCTTCCAGCGCCAAGCCACAAACCAACCATAAGAAAACCTCTTCGAATTCCTCCCTAGAGGATGACACCCAGGTATTTGCGAGGCCCATCACAAGCGAAGAGTTCCAGGCGATGATACCACCCCATTTCCTTAAAAAGCCCCCTCCTACCAAAACCTCACCTACTCCCACCGCGACTACTCCTACCGGGTATGATAGTCACGCGAATTCCGTTACGACGGTCACGATAAAACGACCGGAACCGCCTATCGAATTGCCCCCTTCGCCGAAGGGGCCGGGGCGAGTCACCGAGACCATTACCAAGAGTACCTTTACCGAAACTGTGGTCACTAGGATAACGGACAATAAGTTGGTAGAGCCACTGATTATAGAGGTAGGCGGCCTTTGCAGATAGAGGCTGTTTTTAATATCTCTTACTTTTTTTAGTTGCTCATGTAGAGGGTACTTGCCATTTAAAACAACTTTTTGACGTTTGATTAAAAGGAAAATAGATACAGGTGCAATTTAGTAACTTATTTAAGACATACTTTAATATTATTTGTGGATTGTCATTTAGTGTTCACATAATTTATATACTTAGCTTCCATTACCTTGTTTAAACCCAATAGACTGCATTAGAAACTTGTAGTTTTGTAACCTTATTTCTTGAAGTTCCGTCTACCACACACTGTCTTTTTTAGTCAGTTTTTGATTTTATATCCTTTTCTGATGGGACCAGTGAATTGATCTGACAATATCTGCATTCTGTCGATATCCGTTCTTCATTTAATTGTATATGTTAGTAGACATCTAGTTTGTATATTGTTATTTCAAAGGAGTCGTAGAGCTGATAGAGCTAAAGTGCAGGTTCTAAAGACCTGAAAAATCTTTTGTGTACACCTCATCTATATCCATGTTTGTAGGTTTTAGATTTTAAAATTCGCTGTAGTGCCATATTTGGGTCGAGACATTGTTTCAATAAGTGCTTAAAGTTTTCTTCGCTGTATCTTTTTGGCTTTGCTTAGCTTCATCATGATTTTCCTGACTGCTTTTCATAGTTCCCCTTTATCCCCTTCAGTACTATAGTTTCCAGATTTAGAATTAAAATTTTTTATTTCTGGTCCATTCTTATCCTACAAGAACTGCTGTACCAAGCCTTTGAAACTTTGTTTCACCACTGACTTAGCAAGATTTTTCTGTGATTTCGATTCACCTAGTCGACCAACTTAGACAAGTCCCCATATCGGTTTCCACATAAAGACAAGTAACACTTTCTTATCAACCACCTAATAACCACACAGCCTGTGAGGACAGGCTTCTAAGAGCTAGAGCTAGCGTTATTTCTTGATTTTCTTTATCTCTGATTGTCAAAATAGTCACTGCCTGTAATAGTGTACCCAGAATTTCGTTTGCCAAAATCAAGTCTTCTTTTTAGAAGCTTCATATTGTTATAAACTGTTATTTTTATCTTCTCAATGTTCGCATAACTAGATAGATCTTGTGATTTTTTACGATTTGATATCTTTTCGATTCACCTATCAATATGATCTTCTTTTGTACACATCATCGTAGGATGTTGTTGGTAGTTAGTCATATCATTCGCCTTAATTAATTCTCATTTGTTAGCTATTCTTACTTTTTTCAGAAGATATTCCAAGTGTATATCTTCTGATTTAGTTTTTTATCTTAATAATTATTATCAGTAATCAAATAGTTTTTATATCTCTAAGTATGTCATAACGTGTTCTAGATAATGTGTCTTCACTCTGTTTTATTAGCCAAGAATTAAATAAAGTATTTTAGTGATAACTTGAAACCTTTAATAGTAAACAACTTACCAAAAATTTGTTTTTAATGGCGTATGGTTTTCTATGCATGAAGCTATTGTTTATCTGACATGCACCTACTTGCACCGTTTGTAGCATGATTTGGGTATATTGGAACCATATGGATATTCGAATCTAAAAGCACTCAATAATAATATCAATTTATAATGTAAGATTCATGATTTATAACGTAAATATTAAGGTTAGAGAATAGTAAAGCGATGCTTTTTGGTTTAGAATGGGAATGTATCTCGTAGATGTTCAGTGGTTTCCGGATGATCCGAGAAGAGGTGAGCAGGAGCTCTGTATAGAAATGCATTTTTTATACCAAATCTTTTTTGTTTATAGATTGGACTGGTATCTCGATAATTGATAAAAGACTAGAAAATGTTATTTTTATGCTGACAAAAATTTTATGTTTTGTGCTATTAATCACTGATTAAGGTATCATTTTAGGCTTGATGATGGGGTATATATTCAACACTTATCCTATCTGCTTGGGTGAACTGTCTTCTGTACGTCTTTGTTAAAACTACAGTATTCCAGACAGGCACCGCGTAAAGAACGATCGATTGCACAACTGAATAAAGGGTCATCCTCCCCTCATATGGGGGCTCTGCGATGTTGGGCAATATCTTGTAACCGCTCTGTTTACTGCACAGTTAAATCTAATTCCGTCCCTTTTCCTTGGCCCCTTCAGAACTATGGCGGCGGTCTTACCCACAGCCAGATCTAGTCCATGCATTTCATCCATTCCTCGACGTCGCATGTGCGCTGCGCACCGAAGATAAGACCCTCTCTGTTCCGCGCAACTACCAGCAAAGCGAGGCCTTCTGCAAACGTGAAAGGGGTTACATCCCCTCCATATTTTATGCTCACAAACCCGTCATATGCCAGGTTCCACGGCGTGAGTTGTATGACTAATCTGGGAATTCCAGCGGTCACGTCAATCACCACTCCTTTTTCTGTCAAAATTTTCCAAATTCATCAAATAACCCGGAAACCTTCTCTCTCTTAGGTTTTATTACATCTTTTCAGCAGCAGTAGAATCGCCCACTTTCGGTCTAATCCTGCCCAACTCCCTCAAGACTTCCCATCACCGGATCAACTGTGCTGCTGCTCTTTCTAAAACCGTACTGCCTGGCTGACAGAAGCACTGACTCTTAAGGACTGTGTCGATTCTCTCTCTTAGAAACCTCTCGTATAATTTACTTATGGTCGATACTTGTTTTCACCCTTTTGGGGTAGCAAGAGCCTAGAAATTTATGTCAACCTCAAGCTTCTTGTCCAGTGGCGTCTCATATATCTAGAGATGCCAATAGAAAGAGTACAACTTGAGATGGTTAGTCCTCCATTCATCCTCATACAACTTGTCACACAGTTCTTTCCAGCACCTTTTTCTCTGCCTTCCTGGGACTTTATTGGAGGAGAGTTCATTTGATCCTTTATTTTCTTTTTGAAAACTTTTTTTATTACATTTGGAAAACGTGTGCAAGGCGTATTTCAATATCATAACCCCAAATATTAAAAATTTAGACTGAATAATTGGAGAAATTATTGAAATAATTTGCTTCCTTTATCAAAATTCTACGTAAAAGTTAAAAACAGGAATTTTATAACAATAACCTGTACAGATAATTTTGATGATTAAATAGTTCCGATATTAATTTGTTAAAAAATGCATTTTGTTACAGAGTCTTCGTAAAGGTAAGTATATGCTCCTTTTTGAATATTTGGCATTTTGGTTTTATTAATTTTATTTTGTATGATTTTGTATGTACTGATCAGAATAGTGTTTTTACAAGTAAAAAACCCGAAATTATTGGCACAGTGAACTTTAAAACATCACCAAGGTTTTTCTATGAACCAATTCGTGAATATTTATGCAGCTATTTCATGTATGAGTTGCATTTTGCATTGTTTAATCACCATTGAGCAATACCACGCGTAAATTTCGCTATTAATGTTTTACAACTATTTTTATATGTAGAAAATATTACGAATGTGCGTATCAAACAATGTGTAGAGTAACTACTTTATAACTCATAACAAATTTGTGTCAAAAAAGTGTAAAAAAAAAAGATTTAAACAATTCCAGATTTAGCCATAAGGCGGACACTCACTCTAAGTGTTATTAATACGACGTTGTTCAATATTAATGAATCCTAAATGATTTGTTGTTATTACATATTTGTATCGCCGTATTAAGCTCCGTAGGATTAAACGCAAGTGGTGGATTCATCCTATCAATCAAAACAGAGAAAAGACGGGAACATTCTACACTCTTTTTGAAGAGCTAACGCGTGATGGTAGTAAGTTTTTCAGCTTCTTTAGGTCTTGCCTCCACTAACGAAATAAGAACATCTTTATCAAGAAAATCATCCATTGCAATCGTAATTACCAAAACTAAAATTAAAATGTACCTAAAATGTCACCGATCAGTCGAATTTTCCGATAAAAAATCGATGTGTGTGCAATACTGTATTTAGTCACGTACGCCAATACGTCCCGGTCCTGCCGGCGATACAGTGGCAGTGAACGTCCGCTTACCGGCATTTTACCGACACCGATCAGTGGTCGGCCTGTGTGCAATGTCCGTTCTCACATATGGTTCACTATGGAATTTGGACGGCCGGTAAAAAATCGACCGGCCAAAATCGGTGTGTGCAATTAGCGTAAGGGGAAAATTCACTCATCCCAGATACCTACGGTTTCAAAAGGATTGAGCTCTGATGGGACTCTTTCCGCGTTATCGAGCCTTGGGTGACTTGGTACGCTGGAGTATCTCCCAAAAATTTTCGTACACATCTGGACGTTAAAAGTAGTACAGCTTTCTGCATGGTCTTGTAGATATGGTCATTCAGACCAAGCTTCTTTATGTTTTCTAGGAGATTCTTAGTAGTAGAGAAAATAATAGGTATTATCTGGGTACTTTTCATTCTCCACTGTCTTTGTATTTGAATTTCCAGATCCCTGTACTTGGTGATCTTTTCGTTCTACGAAGTTCGACGAAGATTATTGTTGTAGGGTATCGCCACATCAATTATTAGTGTTGTTTGTCTCTTTAGTTTATTAACTAGTATGAGATCTAGTCTATTATGTGCCATTGTTTGGTCTGTGAGTACAGTGCGGTCCCAGTATAGCTTGTAGTTGACATTCTTAAGTATATTTTTAGGAACGTATTGATAATATGGGAGATGGTTTGTTTGGAGAAATCCCAGTTTGATGGCTATCTCTTAATGAAGGATCTTTCCTACTGAGTCGTGCC